TGGTGGGCCACCTTGGTCTTCTTCTTCCTGGCGTCTGTCGCCTCCTTCTGAGCAGCCTGCTTGGCCACGCCCTTCGGACCCTTGGGATAGTGCGGCCGGGACTTGTAGTTCCCAAGCCCCTACGAAACGTATGACTCCCAATCAAAAAATAGGAAAAGCAGAGGAAGAAGTGTGGACTAAAGAGAAGGGAGCATACCAGGGTGGAAACGATCGAGGAGTTGAAAGGCATGAGCTTCCCTTCGACCCTCTCTTTGGGCTTCAGCTGCAGCACCCAGCCAAGGCAACTCCAGACCTCATCATCCGGTAGATCCTCCGGCGACGCGCGGTCCAACTCCGACGGGCCGCCGTACAGCCACATCGGCCGCCTCCTCTCCGCCAACGTCGTGACCCGACGACGGTATAGGGTGTGGAACACCCGCACTCCATCAAGGCCACGCTTCACAAGCTTCTAGAGCTCCTCCTCGATGACCCCCACCTTGTGCTTCTCCTTTTTGGCACAGCCCCATGACCAACTGTCCTGCTTCTCCGGCCTCCCACCGGTGAACACCAGGAACGGCGCCACCGCCAGATTTTGGATGTAAAACCACTCCCCATGCCACCCCCGGTTGGAGTCGCAGGGGAGGTACATAGGATATGAGCCTCCCACGCTCGGTTTCCTCTGCAGGGCGAAACCCCCCACCGGCACGGTCTCGGCCGGGTTCCCCACCGCCAGGGTTCTCCCGGAGAACAGCCACAGGAAGAAATCCGCGTGCGACTCCATCCCGAGGAAAGCCTCGCAGACGGTGACGAAGCCGACAATGTGCAGCACCCCCATCGGATTAAGGTGCTGCAGCTGCAGACCCCACTCATTGAGGAGCCCGCGTAGGAACTAGTGCGCGGGGTATCCTAGCCCGCGCTCGTGGAAGGTGAGAAAGGAAACCGCCTCATCGGGCCAAGGTTGTGGGAACTCCTCCCTCCCGGGAACCCTCCAGCACTCCACCTCCTTCGGCGGTAGAAATCCCTTCGCGACGAAGGACTTCAACACCGACTCTGTCACGGTGGACGACCTCCAGTCCGACATTGCCCTTCGAGATCGCGAAAGGATTTGTGAGTTTTTTCTCCTCTCCCTTGCTCTCTCCCCTTTTCTTTCCTAGAAACCACCGTGGCTCTCAGGAACGCTCACGACAAGAAGGAAGAGGAAAGGCGGCGGCAGATGAGGAATAGGCAAAAGAACGGGGCGAAAACCCACTCCCTTTCCTACTTAAGGAAAAGAGAACAACAGTTAGCGAGGGGCGCGCCGATCGGGGAAGGCAAAACGGCGGAGTGAGAAACTCTCTCTCTTTCCCATTTAATGCAAATGAGACGCACCGTGACCGATGAGACGCGCCCTGACCGATGAGACGTGCCCTGCCCGATGGAACGGCTCCTGATCGGACGGGACGTGGCCTGGGCAGGGCCCACCACTACCTCACGACCGACCACTACCGCACGCCGGGCACAAAAACTGAAGCGCCACCGCACGTGGGCGGCTCCTCGCTTCCCCAGGACAGACCTGGAAAAACCCAAAATGAGATCTCCGCCGGGGGAGATCATCGGGCCCCCTGAGTCGATCGAATCACTCAGGACAGACACCGAGAGACAGGTAAGGAGCAAAAGGACCATGCTGACTCCGTCAAGAAACGACGAGCACGGGTCCCGGTCGGACATTTCCGACTGGAGCTCTCCAAACCCCGTCACTCGAGTCATCAAGGTGAAAACTACAAACCCCCTCTATTTCCTTATAATCATTTTATACATCCATACACGCATTCATCCCATACGCTCGTGCCTCCCGGACGATTCGAGCCCTGAACCGCCCACGGGCTCGGGAACTAAGCATCGCACGTGCAACGAAATGCATCACAACGCTCCGTGTTGCGTCACGAAGCGGCGGTCGCCTCATTCGACATGAACAACCAATAGAGCTAGGGGAGAAAAACGTAGATGAGCCCCGTGCAGCCCTCGCCCGGTCTGACAGACTGGGTCATCTCAACCTTCTCGTTCGATCCTGAACCTCTCGGTAAGCCCACATAGTCTCCATCGAGGGGAGGCCATTAGGCCACCCGGGTCGGTCTCCAGAATGACCCAGGTATCTGCCGGGTTGCAGGTAAAGGAGTACTAGAATGTCACAAGAGGCCTATGCCGACCCCGTCACGAACGACGGACCCGGATTCCACTCGATCACACCCGTTAGCGAACTTACCGAGTGCGTCACTCGAGCCCGAGCGATCGGGACAAGCGACCAAACTCAGCCCCTCCGGTTGTGAGGAACCGAGGATGGGGTAATGCAAACTACTCACACCGACCCCCACTAAGGCCCGACAGGGCTCAGGGGCTCAAGACAAGAAAAGCCCGGGTCTGTGACCCCGATCTCGCCCCATCCGGCTATGCTTCCATTGCGCTCCAAACACACAGGTCTGCGACCCGATCTCTCCCCATCCGACTACGCTTCGATCGTGCTCCAAACACACAGGTCTCGACCCTATCTCGCCCCATTCGGCTACGCTTCCGAATGCGCTCCAAAGCACCTGGGTCCACGACCCCGATCTCGCCCCACGGCTCTGACTCACCCGATCCCGTGGCGCGCATCGACGCCAGGATCAGTGAGCTCTGTCCCATCGAAACTAACTTCCCCACCCGATCCCACGGCGCACATCGACGCCAGGATCAGTGAGCTTTGTCTCGTCCCAACTAACTTCCTCGCCCGATCCCATGGCGCGCACCGCACGCCAGATCGGTGAGTTTTTGTTTCAAATCTCTCAAACAAACTAAAAAACATCTCGGCACTAACGACGCCTTGTTAAACAAACTCCGTCCCAACTAAACAAGCGCACACACGCTCGCTCATGAACACCCCGATAGTTCTGCCGGACCGCCGGGGCTCGGGTTACACCCGTGGAGTGCGCTTCAAGCGCCACCGCCGGCAACACTGAAAAACCTCCCAGACGGTTCTACCCAACCGCCTGGGGCTCGAAAACTACTGCCGGCGGATGCGCTTCAAGACCACGCCGTCAAAAATAAAATCCCCAAATGATTCTACCCGAATCGCTTTCGGGGCTCGGGGGCTCTGTCGGGTTCATAAACCCGGGGTCCCTCGGGACCGCTTCCGCCAAAGGCTCGCCCAAGCGGGCAGACACACACAACTCATGGACCGCCCAAGGATCTAAAACAACAGGCGAAAGAGCGGTCCGATCACCACCGACCGGAAGGTCTGCCGAAGAGGAACAATACCCTTGTCGTCGACTTCGGTCCACCTCTCCGACCGGGCGCTCGCTTCGGACTCCGATCGCCTCTGGGCGACCTCTCCGATCGGAAGGCTCAGCCCAAAGCGCTACTTCCGACTCGATCCTGTGTCTCCGACCGGGTTCGCGAAACCCTATTCACCGTCTTCTCCGATTGGCGCGACCAGGGCCGATCAGGGCCATCCGACCGGGTATGCCCGCCGGAAGGAACCGAGGACGAACGGAGAAAGCAAGCCGAGGCGCATAAGTCAAACCACGATGCCATGGACCATACCACAGACATCTATAGGAACGATGATTTGCAAAACCACGACACAAACAGTGTTGTAGGCGCCGACATTTCCCTCTACAGTATTGTAGGCGCCGTTAACTCCCATACGGTAAGGCCCCCCACGTGCATCTGGGCATCGATAGTGTTGTGGGTGCCGGGATTACCGTACCAGGTGAACGTGGTGAAACTCCTCACAAGCCTCTAGGCATCAACAGTATTTGCATGTACCGACATCTGCCATTTCTGAAGAAGGCAACGCAACCTCCCATGTGCATCTGACATTCTATAGTGACATCAACAGTGTTATAGGCGCCTACCATTATCTTGTACCCGTCGGCATGGGCAACAGAGCCCAGTAGCATACGTACCCTCACCCTCTCACTTGTAAAGCAATCCTTTTTATCTATAAAAGGGGATGCGCTCCCTCCAACGAAGGAGGTTTTTTCTCGGAGCTTTCTTTTTAGTCCTTTTCAGAACCAACATCGATCGAGTTCATCAGCTCACAACCACCGAACCGCCGGGTTCGTACTCCAAGCACACGCCTAAACACTTAGCTCATAGTGGAGCTCTTGTTGCTCTCGGCCCTTCCGACCGGAGCCGATCGGACCTCTTGTACACCCTATCTTTCTCCTTCTCGTTTGTAACCCCACTGCAGACTTGAGCACACAGGCTCGGGAATAAAAGTCACCGACAGACTCGAATCGGGCGTAGGGCACGTTGCTTCGAACTAGTATAAACCTGTGTGTCATTGAGTGCTAGGCCACCTCCGATCATAACGTACGGCAAAACTACAAATATTTACTAGTTGGTCATATTCTGCACCGATAATACTTGACCCTAATTAATTAATAAGATAAGCCAATAACCCCAGCTAGCACAAAGCTAGTTTCATTTATGATGCTCACTGCAATTTTGTCTAGTTAATTAACTGCAAGCGAGTGGGATGGATCAACTGCAGCATGTGTGTGATGATGATATACCGCCATATTTGTGATATATATAAAGCTCAATGAAAATGGTGAACACAAAACGAAGCCCCGCTTCACAAGAAACTAAACACATCACCATCTCTGTTAATCTCACCACAAGATGAAACCAAAGTACCAAACACTTATATCTGCATCTCCTTCGCACAAACTTAGCACAAATCAATGGAGTACTAACAAGCACGAAATCCTTTTCCTCCATTGATTTGATTTTGACATGGTAGAAGGCACCTCTCGTTTTCAAACCAGGCCAACCGACCGTTTCTCCCCGGCCCATCAACTACCCGTATCAGATCACCACACACTTCAATCCTCCTCAAAATCCATCCTAGCTAGTAACCATACGGATACCGTATGGTGTATTGTACACGTATATGTACACAATCTCCTACTGTACACGTGTGCGCGGCACATTCTTGCACGCACACGCGCGCGACCTCATGCAGTGCAGCTAGCGATCGACCAGTACTAGCGTCTTCGTGCTCATGCAGCTGCCACACCCTTCATCTCCGGTACCCACGCTTGCACCGGCGACGGCAGCTGTGCTGTCCGGGGCCGGGGCATCCATGCCTCCGACTCCCGCAGCGCCGCCATAAATGGAGCCGTTGTGGCCTCTACCGCCGGCGACAGCTCCAACGCGCGCTCCTCCGACAGGCGCCACACCTTGACGGACCCGTCCAGGCTGCCGCTGTACACCACGAACCGCCGCTCGCCGTCCGCGTCGTAGCAGTCGTCGTCCGCCGCCACCGCGACGCACTTGACGGGCCCCGTGTGCCCCGCGAGCACGGCGAGGCGTGCGTGGCCCGCGCGCTCGTCCTCGTCCTCGTCGCGCCGCCACACGCAGAGCGTCCCGTCGGCCGAGCCGCTCACGACGACGCGCCCGGACACGGCGAGGCACAGCACGCCCGTCCCGTGGCCCGCCAGCACGCACGCGAGCCTCGGCTCTCCGTCGTCCACGTCGTCCAGCCCCCACCGCCAGCACGTGACCAGCCCGTCGGAGGAGCCGACGTACACGGCGCGGGCCTCGGGGCACGCCACGATCGCGGTCACCGCGCCGTCCCCGACCTCCCGGAGCACCCGCTCCAGGACGTGCCTCGTCCGGTCGCCGCCCGCCGCCATCTCCCGCCTCCACACCTTGACGGTCCCGTCGGCGGAGCCGGTTAGCACGAGGCCGCCGAACCCAGCCGCAGCGACGGTGTTGACGGCGTCGTCGTGCGCGGGCACGGACTCGAGGCACCGGTAGTCGGAGACGCGCCACGCCTTGAAGGTGCGGTCCCAGGAGGCCGAGTAGAGCATGCCGACACCCTCGTCGAGGCTGAGCGATGACACGGCGTCTGAGTGGCGGAGCCACACCGCGCGGCGCTGGCGGCCCCGGCCCCTCCCGCCCCCGCCGCGCAGCGAGAGGACGTAGCTGGAGGGGTTCACGGAGCTAACCAGGAGGTCCCCGAGCGGCGGGAGCAACCCCACGTGGCGGTGCACAACGGTGGGGTAGCCACCGGCGTCGCCGTTGGCGCGTCACACCCGGACCTTGCCGTCCTGGTGGCCCGTGAAGATGCAGCCATCGACGACCACGACAATGGCCTTGAGCCCGCTCCCGGTCCGGAACCCCGCGAGCTCGCGCTAGTCCCACCACACCCGCATGGTCTCCGAGTCCGTGCCGGTGTACAGCACGTCCCCGGCGGCCGCCAGCGAGTACACCTTGCCGTCCTCCTTGACGAGCGACGCGATGAGCTCGGTTGCGGTCGCGTCATCAGCACCGACGCCGCCGAGGCCCGGGAGGCGCGCCCACGGCGACTTGGGCGGGCTGTAGGACCGCGACGGCGAGGACGACACGGAGCCTTGGAAGGAGGAGGAGCTGTAGCCGTCGTCGTCGGAGAAGGAGGAGTTGGTCGAGAAAGACCGAGGGGAGGAGAGAGCGGAGACCGCCGCCGCCGGGTCGACGCGGAGGAAGTGCATGAGCTTCCTGCGGTTGCCCATGGCTGGAATGGTGGGTCGGTTCGTGGAGACGTGTGGTACTTGTGTGTGCTGCTCTCTGCGCTTGTCGCGGCCGGTCGAGGGGGAAAGAGGTCTCTTTAATGGCGCGCTAGCTGGATCGCGCAGCTAGCTACCTCAGCTCACGGCGGTGGAGCGTCGTCGGAGCGAATCGGGAAGGACGACGTGCGCGCGCGGGAAGGAATCCGAAGCCGAACTGCCGAAAGGGAGAGGAGTAGGGATTAGGGAGCAGAGCGTAGGAGGCATGAGTAGCTAGCTTGCGAGGTTGGAGAAGGGGGCGCGCGAGCAGTGGCCGCATATATACTGCGTGACGGCGGGTCGCAGACTCGCAGTGAGGAGGAGGAGGGAGGCCACGACGGCGGGACAGGTGGCGGGGCCGCGCGTGATCGAAGTGTTTTTTTTCCCTGTTCCCATCGATTTTTTGTCGAAATAGAGTATTTTCCCCGGATGGGATGTTTGGATTTTTATTCTGTTTTTGTTTCGTTTCCCCTGGGAAAAGGAGGAGGTGTTTGATTACCGAACCGGGCGCACGTGGCTGGTGGTGGTAGGGCGCGCGGCGCGACTGTGCCGGCACGACGAGGGGTCGCCGGGTGCCCCCGTCCAGTATGGGTCGTTTCGTGACAGGTTTGGAAGGTATGGCGCGCACAAATATCCATGTCCGATTGTGCACCGTGGTACGGCGTCCTCCGGTCTCGTAGGTATAGTTATAATCCAGTCTTTTTTAGCCGAAATATTATTTTTCTTTCACAACAATTCAGCCGTAACAACGTTTCGACCGTTTTTTCAACAAAGGCGAACTGGGCCATAGATGACGGCCAGAAAGCATACAGCCTGCTAGCTTGCATGGGGCGTGCCTAGGCTGAGGGGATGGCTGGCCCGGCCCAGAGTACCCATTAACCCATTAGACCTACTAGCCCACCAGCTCAATCTTCAAGGTCACAAAAGTCGTGAGCCTCAACTGTGCTCAAAGCACCGAGCTCCTTCCGTGGATATGGAAGTAGACGAGGGAGTCGGAGAGGTAGGTAGGCAGTGACAACAATGGCACGCCTCCGCAGCTGTGCGCTCGACGTCAACGTCTAAAAACGGTATGACGATGCAGGGGGCATGGCCCTACCAGGGGCATGGTGCTGATGCATAGGCTAACCAACGGGCGATGGGCCCATCGGGCCCTCAGGCTGGCCTGGCACGACTAAGTCAATGTAGAGTCATGTCTAGGCCAGAGTCGCATCCTATATAGGTAGGTACGAAACGACACGAAGATTAATAGTGCAGTGCCGACCTGACTCTAATCGGGTTGTGCCGTATGTTTAGCCACATCTAGACTCGTAGGTGCTCTAGTATTTGAAAAAAAAATCCTTGAATCTAAACTATTGCCCATCCCTTTATATACCCTAAAAATTATACCTTCCCTTGGTTACCATTCATTTATATTTTTTCATCCCTTATATGCCATTTAAGTTATAGCTCCCTTCATTGTCATTCATTTAGACTATTTCATCCCTTATATGACATCAGTGTTGATTTTATATTTTGTCAACTATCGAATATAATGTTATGCATACAAAATTCATGCTCATGATCAATATCTGCATAATTGTTCTTGAGTGCAATGACATGGAATGATGAAAATACTAGAAAAAAATGTCCATATGTTCTAAGGGCAAAATTACATTTTGAACTTTCACTTAACGGTAATGTGACGGTAAATTGATAGCAGTGGCATAGAAGGGAAGGAAAAAAAATCAAATCAATGGTAATGAAGGGAAGATATAATTTTATTTAGACTGTACTCTATATAAGAGATAGTTAATATTATAACTTTTGATGGCAGTACCACGAATTTTCTCTCCTAGTATTTCCACGTTTCCACGATTCTGCATGGATGTGCAGTGTATGACGCCTAAACGGTACGGGTTTACGGCACGTACGTTCCTCATCGTGGCAGCCGTACTTGAGCGTACGTTCGACACGTTGCGTGTAGACGTACCTACCACGACGTCACTCCGTTTTCGTACCCAAGACTAGAAGTGCAGCGCTTTGTTGTGTGTCGTCCATCATCTTAAAACAAGCCACGTATTCTGAAATGGTAAGACAGGGGGGCCACAAAAACAAGATAGATAGTGTTGATCGATAGGCTCTATCCGTTACATGTGATACAAGCTAGTCTTCGTTTCAACTGACTAGCTAGTGAGGAAAAAAGAGCCACTTCAACAGGTGCTAAATACCCACGTCTCATGTCATCATTGTTCCAAAGTAGTGCATAATGCTCCTCCTCCGATATGCCGCAACTCGGACTAAAATATATAGTACATACCCTGTATGCATAGAAACGTATAAGTAAGCATTACTCTAGAATATGTAGTTTCTTTTTCAAAGTTTTCAGCAGGAATATTTTGGTGATTTCTCTGCCGAGAAAATGTGGAATTGGATACACACAACACACAACACAATGATGACGACCAAAAACAAGGGGATGGAAGGAAGGGAACATCTTTAATTTGGTTGACAGCATGCACAAGGTGGCGCCGGAACGTGTCGATACGCACGTACATTATCAAATCAGACAGTGGCGAGCACAAAATCAAAGCTGCCTTTAGTTGCTGTCAGAAGCTAGCTAGCGGACTTGAGTTCACTAGACAGTCACAACAGGAAACGGCTGATTTGCCGGGAGCAAAAAAAAAAAATTTGCCGGGTGCTTTTTATCGGACACCCGGCAAAGGAATTCTTTGTCGGGTGCCAGGCCTGGCGGCACCCGGCAAAGAAAGGCCTCTGGCAAAGCAGCCTTTGCCGGGTGCCGGGCACTCGGCAAATTCCAGCCGTCGGCAAAAATTGGTCTTTACCGGGTGCCGGCCACTCGGCAAAATATGGCCGCCGGCAAAGGTGGCCGGCTTGACGGCGGCCAGCGGCCGTCAGCCTTTACCGGGTGCCACGCCGTTAGGCACCCGGCAAAGAATTTTTTTATTTTTTTTTAAATTTCTTTGTCGGGTGCCCCATGACCTGGCACCTGGCAAAGGCTTCTTTGCCGGGTGTTCTGGGTGGCACCCGACAAATTATTATTATTTTTTGTTTTTTTGACCCCATTTTTTTTGTGGGGACTTGCTACAGTAAATATATCCCTATTTCAAAACTTGGGACAATTATGAGTTTTTTTAACTATATTTCCTTAATTTTTTCCGTTTCATTGAATTTTTCCGACTATTCCAAATTTGAACTGCAGGTACATGAAATAATAGAATTTGGTCATTCAAAAAATAGTATTCATGATATTTAGGCTATGTCGAGGCCGTATGCAGGAAGTGACATGAAATGTCGCACATCATGTTGTCGTAACATGACGATGTACTCGCGGGGGAAGTTTATTTAAATTATATAAAATCCAAACGATGTCCGAAAATCACGAAACTTATCGATGTGTCTTGTTATCACATGTGGAGGCCTTGGTAAAAAATTGAGAAAGTTTCGAGCAAGTTGGGACGTCGGCTGCCTAAAACCCAGACAACTCCTTAAAGTACTGTCCGAAGTGTAAAGCCTCCAGGTTCATGGAGGTAGAGTCTGGTGACGGTGGTGGCCAGAAGACCCAGCTTAAGATACCCGCCCGAGTCCTACGGCACCTTCCCTTCGTGCCGAGGATTCAAAGGCTATTCATGACCGAGGAAACCGCGAAACAGATGACGTGGCACAAGAATGGCAAACGCTACCATCCTGACAAGATGGTGCATCCATCTGATGGTGAAGCATGGACCAGCTTTAATGACAAGCATCGTTTGAAATCCGATGAGACTCGTAATGTACGTGTCGCGTTGGCAACAGATGGGTTCAATCCTTATGGCATGATGTCTGCCCCTTACACATGTTGGCCCGTGTTTGTTATCCCCCTCAATCTCCCCGCTGGCATCACCTTTCAACGACATAACGTGATCTTGACGTTGATAATTCTCGGGCACCCAGGGAGTAAGATGGGTGTGTTCATGGAGCCTGTGATTGATGAGTTGATCAAAGCTTGGAATGAAGGGGTATGGACATATGACCGAGCTACAAAGGAAAGCTTCAAAATGTACGTCTGGTACCAGTACTCCATGCATGACTTCCTGGCGTATGGGTTATTCAGCGCCTGGTGTGTTCACGGGAAGTTCCCGTGCCCAATATGCCAGGAAGCTGTGAGGTTCATTTGGCTGAAGAAGGGTGGTAAGTATTCGTCGTTCGTTCAACATCGTCAATTCCTAGATTCCAACCATCCATTCCGACAGGACACCAAGAACTTCAGGAAAGGTGTCGCAGTCACGGACCCTAGACCGCACTTGAAGACTGGTGCCGAGGTTCATGCTCAGATAGATGCTGTCTTGCCCAATAAAGAAGGTGGTTTTGTGGGATATGGTGAGCAACACATGTGGACTCATAAGTCCGGCTTGACAAGGCTCCCCTATTTCGATGACCTCCTACTACCCCATAACATTGATGTAATGCACACTGAAAAGAATATCACCGAGGCACTTTGGGCAACACTCATGGACACTGACAAGTCTAAGGACAACCCTAAGGCTAAAGTGGACCTGGCGACGTTGTGCGATAGACCACAGCAAGTGATGCGGCCTCCTGCAAATGGCAAGAACTAGAAAAGGCCTAAGGCCGATTTCGTCTTGAAACCTGAACAAAGGAGGGAAGTACTACGATGGATCAAGGCGTTAATGTTCCCTGATGGGTATGCAGCAAACCTGAGCAGGGGAGTGAACTTAGGCACTATGCGAGTCAACGGCATGAAGAGTCATGACTACCACGTATGGATTGAGCGGCTTCTTCCGGCGATGGTACGAGGCTACGTTCCTGAGCATCTCTGGCTAGTGCTGGCAGAGTTGAGCTATTTCTTCCGCGCAGCTTTGTGCCAAGGAGCTATCTCGGACCGTGGTTGCAAACTTGGAGAAAGTGGCACCTGAGTTGCTTTGTAAGTTGGAGAAGATCTTTCCACCCGACTTCTTCTTGTCGATGCA